GGGAAGTCTGCTGTCAGGGACCTCTCCAGAGTGCTGAAGAGCTATGATGTCAATCTAAAGCCTAAGGTATGGCTGATCTAGTCCATAGTCTTCACAATTACTTGTTATGCACCAAGAGCTGGACAGTGACTAAAGATGACAGCAGAAGAATTGATACCTTTGGGTTGTGGTGCTGGAGAAGAGTATTGAACATGGACTACCAGGAGAACAAGTTGGTTTTTCTTGGAAAGGGTGAAACCAAGTTTCTCCTTGGAGGCTAGGATTTTGAAGCTCTGTCTCACATACTTTGGGTGTGTGGTCAGAAGTAATAGTCCTTGGTGAAGGATATCATGTTTGGAAGGGTAGAGTGACAGCGCAGGAGAGGAAGACCTCAAATGAATTGACACAAGTCATGACACAAGTAGAGGTATGCACACTTGTGATTATCACAGCTTTATTCACAACAGTGGAAAAATGAAAACAAATGACTATCAATGGATTAGCAAATTATGGTGCATCTACACTGGCATATTTGCAGTTTCAAAGAATAATTATGAATTCACATAACATGGATGAACCTGGAAGACTTAATGTAGACTGAAATAAGTCAATATAAAAAGACAAAAATTGTGTGAGAGTACTGTTATAAAAAATCAAGAAAAGGTTCACATGGAAATTTTTTTTCACATGGAAATTTTTAAGTGATTACTAAAGATGAGAAGAATACAGAGGGAAATATAGAGGGAAAACCACTAACTAGATAATGGATGCGTTAACTTGCGTGAAGGGAAAATAAATATACAATAATGAGGTTAATGCTACATGACCAAGGCAAAGGAAGACACTGGGAGATATGTAAGAGTTAAAGGCAATTGTAATTATGAGTGGGTTCATAGGGAGATACACCAGCTGAAAAGGTATGGGATGGGATATGGGAGTATACTCAGGAGCGTATGTAGTTTTGGTAGAGAATATTTCTACATGCATATTTATATGTGCTGCAAATATGTCCAGACATATAGTAGAGCATGTTGTTATATGCCAGCGAGTCAGAACTGACTCACATGTGACCTTCAGCGGGTTTTCAGAGGTAGTAAATTGTACAGGAAGAGATGCTTATCTTTATCCCATGGAGCAGCTGGTGAATATGAACCCTGTGCCTTTGGGTTGTCAGTGCAGCTCCTTACCATTAGGTCACCAGAGCTCCCACTATAGTAGAGTATACATGACACAAAGTTATACATACTAAGCCATAACCAAGAACATTGAGTCACTTGACCTGAGGGCTTCAGGCTATAGTTTTGGGAAACATGTAAGTCAATGTCAGTACACATAACATAATTCATAAAGAATTGTTACCACTAGAATCATAAAGATTCTCACCACTGGGCCAATCAATTGACAGCACCCTGATAGACGAAGAAGAGATTGAGATTGTTTACAATTACATCTTGCTTGGCTCCACAATCAGCACTTTTGGCACCAGCAATCAGAAAATCAAAAGACAAATTGCACTGTAAAAATATACTGTCAGGCACTTCCCCAGAGTACTGAGAAGCAATAATGTCAGTCTGGAGACAAAGATACAACTGGTCCGGGGCATGGTCTCTGCAATTGCTTGCTATGTATCAGAGTACTGGACAATGACTAAGGATGACAGAAGAAGAATTGATGCCTTTGAGTTGTGGTACTGAAGAAGAGTCTTGAACGTGCCATGAACTGTCAAGAAAACAAGTAATTCTGTCTTGGAGATGGTGAAACCAAATTTCTCCTTGGAGACTAGGATTTTGAAGCTCCATATCACATATGTTGGGCATGTGGCCAGGAGGAACCTTGGAGAAGGACATCATGCTTGGAAGGGTGGAGGGAGAGCAAAGAAGAGGAAGACCCTGATGAGATAGATTGATACAGTAACTAGGGTAATGGGGTAGTTGTGTCAGAGTCCGTGAGACTGGCTCTGGAAAGGGCAGGCTTCAGAGCTGTTGTACACAGGGTCACTGTGAGACACAGGTGACTCAACGGCTTGTAACAACTACAACAATAGTTCATAAAGAAAATGTTCTCTAAACATTTCCAAGTTTTTTTAAGTTTTAAAAACTTGGCCATGGCCATTTAAGAACTATTGATCTCTTCCTATCTAAAGCAAAAGCTCAAGGAAGCAATTAATAGTTCTGATAGACCATAAAAATCCTGGTCTTCTCCAGCCTGAAACCACAAGAACTATGTGATTCCTGCTTACCACTACTGACCGATCTGATTGAGATCATGACAGGATGTCCTGGACAAACTAGGAGAAAGGTGGGAGGAAAGTAAAAAGCATAAGAAAGACCACCGTCTCATAAACACTGTACAACTCCTGAGACACTCTTCAGACTTGGGACTGGAAGAAGGTGTTCCTCGAAAGTCATTTGTAGAAGACCAGAAAGGCAATATTTGCCCCAAAACAAGCTCAAAAGGCAGAAAGGAACAGAAAAAATATGAGGAAATGAAAATGGAACCAGGGAGAAGTAGTATTACATTGATGGGAGGGCAAATAATGTTCCAAAAGAAAATACATGCAGAGGGTTAGATGGTAAACTGATTTGCTCTTTAAACTTTTACCCAAACCGAGATGAAATGTACAGTAAACAAAGGAACCCAACATTTGGAAACCCAGAAGAACAGTTCTGCTCTTACATATTCAGGGCACTATTAATTAGAACCAACTAGACGGTAGCGGATTTTTGCTTTATAAGAGTTGAAGACGTAGATCAAAAAGGAATGTCACTAATGGTGAGCACATTTGTCAAAAAATCCATAGGGTTACTGAACTCTGATATAACTTACAATGCCACTGCTGTTGAGGGAGCTGTGATACATGGTGACAGTTCAGTAGATTTCCAAAGCAGAAAATCTTTACGAGACTGTACCTCTCTCTTCCAAGAACAGCTGGTGGATTCAAACCCCTGACCTTGCAATGTCACTAGCAAGAAAACAGTGACTGAACAAGCAGAGTGAGCTAGCAGCAAGCAGAAGCATAGCTATATTTAGCCTCACAAAAGCCTAGTCCTTTACAATATCCTTTACAATATCTTGAAAGTGCATCAACCGTTGATAATCCCTGTGTCTTAGGTCTCCATAGAAACAGTATCAATAGGTTGTGTCCTGAGAAAGTTGTTTTTGGTGTGTTTTTTTTAAGTAGTTGGCTCATACAACTGTGGAACCGGTAAGTCCAAAATCAGAAATCTCAGCAGCAGGCAAACCCCAGCAAGAAGTCTATATTAAAAGTTCTCCTTCAGGAAACTGGGTTTGTACCCTCAGTGCCTTCAATTCATTAAGGCCCCCTGACATTGTGGAGGGGGAGCTGCTCTACCTCAGGTGAACTCATTTTAGAGTTAATCATATAAAAAACTTCACAGTCACACTTAGATTAGCGTTCTACCAAACAGCTGAGTTCGACAGCCTGATTAAGTGAACACGTGAGATTAACCACCACACTGTTACAGGGACTTCAACCCAAAGCTTTCTCACTTAGGCCTCACGTCACCAGCAGGATCATAGTGCAGGGGTGCCTATTCTTGGGGAATATGGGCACCAAAGCAAGATAGCAATGCTAACGTAGGCAACGACTGTGCTCTGAGCTCCTGTGGGTCCTCACATACTCGGGAGTGATTTTCAGAACTCAAACTCATTGCACTTGAGTTGGAACTGACTCAGAGCTGACCCTCGGTTGTGTTTCCAAGGCTGTAAATCATATGGGAGGAGTTGGCCCATCTTTCTCCTGAGGAACTACTGGTGGGTTTGAACCGCCAGAGTGGTGCAGCCTTTGGGTTAGCTGTGCCATTCCCTACAGATACATCTCCAGAGCTCCCTGTGTGTCCTGAAGTGCCCTCGTCTGCTCTCATGTGCTCTCACACGTCCTCGTGTGTCACTGGACAAGCAGGCTAAATATTCCTTATCCAAGTCAGTCATCTCACGTCAACTTGCAGCCTCACATATTAACAAAGGACAGGACGAAATACAGAAACAGCACTGCCCTTCAGCAACAGGACTTGAAGTGTAGTGCAGGGGCAGGGTTACACTGCCATGTCAGAGGGGCCAGGAGGGGGAGCTTTGGGTCCTAGAAGTGGAAAAGCACAGAGCAGCTGTGCTTTGATACCTTAATATCAAACAGTGTTAACAAGATGAAACCACCCCTCTGATGTGGTCTGGAATGGGCAAATCTAGGTAAAGTGGCACAGAGGCAGGGGGATGTGTGGACCGTTGGTGCAGGGGTGCCACAGAAACCACAATGTGGAATTCATATTCCAATGTAAAGAATGTTGTGAACTAAATATAAGAGAGGTGAGATGATTTGTTAAAAGCTGCCCAGAGATGTGGAGAAATTAAGGCCTCATCTTCCCTCCCATGCCAGCCTTCTCAAGTAGCCTGTCTGACCTGGGCCCTTCTGTGGCCCAGGATTTCTTGAAACTCAAGTGTTGGTATCCCCCGACCCAGTCCTCTTAGCTCTCAAGCTGTGCCCTGTTGTATAGGAAGGCTCCCCAACAGGAATGAGGAATGACAGGGGTGGCACTATCCCTCCTACCTCCCCATGTGTCCTTGTCCCTACAGCCCCACTGCTGCCCACTGCTGCTTTTCCAAGGAGCCCCAGCACTGCCATACCTGGGGATCAGTGTTTATAGGTAACGTCCACTGGACCACAGCAACAGGTCAGGCAAGAACTCTCAACAGAATCCTAGCAACCAGGACTTCCCCTCCCGCTCCTGGGGTGTCTAGCAACTACCTGGGCACAACTTGTGCTGGTTCACTGGGCACTTGAATCTGCGAGGTGGCAAGATGTAGTGACCAGGCCAGCACAGTGCCCATCCCACTCTAGTTCTGCTCTATCTGTCTGTCAGGACCCGGGAGGTAAATAGGCTGCCTACTGCCTGTTCTTAGAGGTATGTTTGGTGGTATTGTTTGCTGAGAGGTTCTTGCTTGCAGATAAGCGGGGATCAAGGAAGGAGAGCAGGCCTGCTGAGTGGTCCTCACGAGGTCTCCTCATGGCAGACTCTCTGGTGGCCGACCAAATGGCTCGACTGACACTCAGACTCTTGGAAAAGGTAAGGAGGCCTGGGAAGGGCCATTTTTCTAACTCTTAAAGGAGCTCAACTTTTAGAGTTACGGAACAAGGCAACACATCTTTACTTTTGGCCTCTGGCAGACTGCCTGCCAGTGTGTGCTTGCTCCAGTGTCGAGCTTTTCAGTGGTTTCATCCCATGGTCACAGAATGTAGTTTCTTCCTCTGTTTCTTTTGAGAGCAGAATCTAGTTAGTTCTAGCACTTTCTGAGTCCCAAAGCAGACATAGTCTGTGCTTTAGATACAGCCTCATGTGACCTGCCGAGCTGGGCTGTGGCTGTTGACTCATCTCAAATCCATTCTTCTCACTCTTCCTGAGGGTATTTAGACTTTCATTCTGTCTGTCCCTATAGGTGACTGGGTGAGGCCAGGTCCTGATGGCTCCTCACACCTGCCTGCGTTTTTTTCTCCCTCTTAGAAGCTTCTCAATGGTGTCTCATGAGCTGTCCCTCACTTCCTCCATCCCTGTGGGGGTGCTGTGGGAAGACCAGCAGTTGGGTCAGCATTGAACCATCACAGGAACCTGCTTAGCTCAGGGCTGAGGTAGGATCTGTGAAGTTGCTGGACCACAGGCAGGTCGGGCTGCTCACTGGCAGGGATGACCAGGCAGTGTGCCCACCCAGGACATAGACATCATCATGGGTCATCCCGCCCAGGATCATCCATGCCTCAGAAAGCTGCCTAAGGAGGCCTAGTAAGAAAGTGCATCTTTAGTTTTTAAAATGAGAGCTATGTGCATGATACTGAGTTTATGGTCAAGGCAGTGTCTGAAGGAAGACCGGCGTCACAACCACCTCCACACAGCACGTCATGCTTCTAGACACTTTTGTCTGGTGCTTGGTCACATGGGAACACTCTTAGTCATTCCTATAGTCCACAGGCCAGGTGCTGACAGACAACAGCTAGAGGACAGGGCAGATGGGCAGAACAGGATGGAGGCAAAAGAGGGGGATAGGAAAGCAGGACAGGTGTGCGAGTGGGGAGGATAGGAGGATGGGGAAGGTGGGGAGGGCGAGGATGGGGTAAAGAGAACAGGACAGGTGTGCCCATGGGGAGAATGGAGAAGGTGGTGAGAGCGGGAGAGTGGGGGTAGGGTGAGGAGGACAAGAGAACGGAACAGGTGTGCCAGTGGGGAGCATGGGGTAGGTGTGGAGAGTGGAGGGGGGAGGACAGGAGAACAGGACAGGTGGGCAGATCTGGATCCTTATCACACATGGTCTCTTGGTCTCTCAGAAACTGGAATGCGAACGTGAGAACATGGAAGGTGACTCTGAAGTTCCAACCCTCATGACAGGTAAGAGCCCTGGGCTGTTTGGACTGGCACAAGACCAGTCATTCTGAGGGGAGATGGGAACAGTCTGCTGATGGCAGTCACCCCTGCCTGCTTCCTCCCTTCTTCCTGTTACCAGCATGCTACCCTTAAAAAAGTTTCCTTGGTAGGGAGCTCTGGTGGCCTAGTGGCAAGAAGCTGCACTGCAATCACAGAGGTGTGTGGTTTGAATCCACCAGATGCTCTGCCGGAGAAGGAGGAATAATCTCCTCCTGTACCAGTTAGATCTGATTTGATAGCGCACACGCACACACAAAAATAATTTAAAAGTTGTCTTGGCATTGTGCATGAAAGGCTTTTATCATTAAAAACTTTGAAAGATTAAATTACCTACCTAGATCATCCAGGTTATAAGTGGCCACACCAGTATCAAACTCAACAGCCATTGATTCTGGAGCCTTGAAGTTGGACTGAGAGTGAGAGTGGGGCCAATCTGGTCCCCAAGATTCTGTGCACTCTCCCCACTGCTTGCCCTCAAATGCTCAGGCCACGTGAAGTCAGGAGGTCACTACATCAGTGGTGATAGAGTTGAGGTCCAGTGACACCTGGAAAGCACTGAGAAGCTCAGAGGAGAATTTCTTACCCTGAGGGTATGGGCTAGTGGGGGAGACCTCTGGCCTGGGCAGGCCTGCAAGACAGCGGGAACTCCAGACATCTGACAAGAGCAATAGATCAGGCGTAGGGCCTTGATTCAGTTAGAAAATTCCAAGCCAAGTTGCCCAACTAGGAGATCCCAAGAGAGCAGAATCAAAGAATAGGCATGAAGGGAAGAAGTTGGCTGCAAGCAGGGCAGCCATCTCTGAGCAAGTTGAGGATATTGGTGGTTGCAAGTAATGATGTCTGACAACAGAGTCCTGCTTCCACTATATCCTGTGAGGGACATCTTTGCCAAGCTCATGGTCAGTAGAACTGGCAGGATTATCTCTGGGGGTGCTACAAGAGCTGTAAGTGCTGCATCTGGGTGGGCCCTCTGTGACTTCTTTCCAGTAATCAAATGGTTAGATTCCAACAGAAAGGCTGAATATCCTGGTGGCCCCAGTCACTCCTTTGGGACAGGCACTTGCTAGAGAATTCAGGTCACAGGGCAAATGAGATATGGAATGTTTTCAAGGGTGCACCACAATGCAAGACTGTACTTCCCTTCCAGGAGATGAGGTCAGACCAGAAGATGCCCTGCAAAGTGCCCTGAGGAGAAGGAAGGACCTCCTGCAGAGACTCTGGGTAGGCCTAACCCCTCCAGCCAGCCTGATCTGAATCTGCTGCAGTTCCTATCAGTGAGGCTACTGCTCTGTCCAGCAAAGATGGAACAATCAGCCCTTTTACAGAGGCATCTTCAGTCTCTCCTGTGTCTTAACATTGCTTCTTTACTATTTGTGACTCACTGTGGAACCTGTTGAAATGCATCTTCCTAAAAAAGGTATTTCATGTAGGCAGCCTGTCAGTACCTTGAATTCTAGCAAGGAGCTTATTAGCCAGCTGAAGAGCCTGCTTTGGTTGCACACATCCAAGGTAGAATATTGAAGAAGGGTCCAGTTTCTCTGGGAAAAGGGAATTGATGCCCCAGGCTTTAGTCCAAGGCTGCAGTGAGGAACCCCTGGCCTGTGTGCTGGGCCCAGTTCAAAGAGGCTGTTTTAAAGAGGACGACCTCATTGTAGTGGGAGTGGGCACTGAGGCATGCTTTGGAAAGAGAAAACACTCTTTTGGTGGAAAATAAAATGAGTCAGTAACTAGCTGAAATCACTTGGTAAATTAATGAACAAACATGATCTTCACATGTATACCTTGAGAGGACCTCTGGGCCATGCTTTACACACTGAGTCACTCCCAGCAGGTGGAGAGTCCACTGCTACTTTAGGCTGACTAGGCCTCTTGAAGCCTGGTGCCTGGTACTGGCCATGGTCCTACAATCTCAGGTCCCATATACACTGTGGAGGGCATGAGAGCCCCTGAGAACACACCCTTCTCATCAGCCCTAAGATGACTCCTCGAGCAAGCCCTGTGACTGGAGATCTAATCGTTCATACCAAATGTGGGTCCTTTCCCAGCACCCCTGAATCTTCCTTCTACAGGAGGCCAGCATGCTTTGTGTGTGTTGCAGGAACAACACCTCCTGGAGGAACTCTCCCGGGCCCACACTTGGAAGGCGTCAAACAGAGGGGCCTGGGGATCCATGCTGCCCCCAGAGGTGCCCACTGTGTGCAGCCACCCCCCTGCATCCCCTCCTCCACCAGGCCCAGAGTCACCACGCATCATCCAGCAATCGGTAAGAGGCACATCCTTACCAAGCAAACGTGAGAACAGCATCCTCTCTGTACATGCTTTTGTTCATATGTGCGCGTGTGAGCATGTGCACTAAATATGCACACACTCCCAGCCCTGCAAATCAGCTACTGAAGAGTCCTCTTAACCCTGTTACGATTAAGAGGCTGACCTCCCAACTTCACCTTCTTGATGCCAACACTAGTCTCCACCATTGCACCAGGAGAGTGTGAGGGAACTGTAGCACTGGGAGAGGTATGCCAACTCTTTAAAATTTTCATGGTGACTTGGAGATTCTTTTTTAATTTAAAAATCATTAATTTTTAAAAAATCATCTATTGTAGGGTAATTTACAAATATCTTGTTGTCTTTAGTAATTTGAACAATGGACCATCAATGCTTTTGACAAGAACAGCATTAAGCTTACCGTTTCTTTATCTCTTGCCTGAGGATGATACTAGATTTTTGTTAATCCAAAGCTTCAGCATCTGAGATGATTTCCGTCAGCTCCCATGTGATGACAGCTTGGCGGGTCTGGATGAACGTCAGTCAGCTTGTCCATCATCTCCGAGGCATTCTTGCCAGCGTTGTCCATAGCTGTCGTCCCTGCACCTAACTCATTAGTGGTGGACTCCAGAGAGCAGTAGCTAAAGTTTGCTAGATTGTACTCTTGATAATTCTGCAGCACATCAGCATCAATATCGTCATAAATACTCAAGCATGCAGCACTTGCAGGGGAATTAAGGGAAAATAGAGACTTTTCTTTAGTCTTACAGGAGGTGACAAACCTAAATGGATTAAAGAGGATAGATCATTCATCAAATTCATAACAAGAGTTCAGCAATTCAAGGACAATAACTGATGCATCTCCAAATGCAGGTGGCTTTCTTCCCACTTCTTTAAATGTCACCAGAAGAAACTGGTCCAAATGAATCCTATGAAGCATGCCCCTGATGTCATCTCCAATCCCCACCATCATGACTTCTTTTCCAACTGCTGTAGGCTTGGCCACATCACTTTTCATCTGTTTAGCAACTGAGGAATGAACAGCGCCACAAAGCCCTCGATCTGAGGCTATTCCAGTAATAAGGCTTTTCTTCTTGCCTTCATGAGCCTTCGTATCAGATTTCTCATAGAGAGCCAGAGATCCGACTCCAAAAACCCAAGCTGGTTTTAATTCCCTCTCTGCTCTGGCATATCTTGCTGCTGCTAACCATTTTCTTAGACTTGCTAATTTTTCTGGATGCTTTTAATTGTCTTTAGTCACCTGTTAATATCTTTCAGAGTTGCCATATTTTGACCTTGGGTCCATTGTGGCTGCACAGCGAGGCTGAGAGAACAAGGCGCACCTGAGAAAACATGGTGGGGCTACATGGTGGGACTGGCCACAACCCGGAGATTCTCAAGACTCAAGTGACTGAACTTAAAAGTCAGTGGTTTGCAATTGAGAACTTTGCACTTTTTTCGATCTTCTGAATTAAAAGCAACAGAAATCAATTCTGTCTTAAGCAAAAGAAAAATGTATCAAATGGCAATTGGGAACACAGAAAAGGGAGGGAAACTTAGGATGCTATATCTTAATTATCTACTGCTGCAATAATAGAAAGCTAAACAAAACAAACATAAATTGGTAGTTTTAACAAATGAATTTCTCATTGACAAATGAGTACCTCCAGCATTGTATCTGTTTGTTGAAGTATCTCAATTAATAGTCTATAAATTCCTGGAGTGGTGGTGGTGTTGGTGTTGGAGTAGATCCATATTTGTTTCCATTTCTAAGAAAGGGGACCCATCAGAATGTGGAAATTTTAGAACAATATCGTTAATACAAAAGGCATCAATTATCTTTCTATCATCCCTAGTCATTGTCCAGCTCTCTGATGCATAGCAAGCAATTGTGAAGACTATGGCTTGGATCAGGTGCACCTTAGTCTCCAGCCTGATATCATTGCTCTTCAGTACTCTGGAGAAGTCCCTGATAGCTTACTTTCCCAATGTAATTTACCTCTTGATTTCCTGGCTGCTGGTACCAAGAGTGTTGATTGTGGAGCCAAGCAAACTAAAACTGTTAACAATATCGATCTCTTCACCATCCATAATGATGCTACCAATTGATGCCTCTGAGCTGTAGTGCTGGAGAAGAGTGTTGACTATACCACGGACTGCTAGGAGAACAAACAGGTTTGTCCTGGAGAAGGTGAAACAGGGCTGCTCCTTGAAAGCAAGAATTATGAAGCTTTGTTTGACATATTTTGGGTATGTTGTTGCAAGGAGGGACCAGTCCTTGGAGAGGGACATCATGTTTAGAAAGGTGGAGGGACAGCGCAAAAGAGAAAGACCCTTGATGAGATGGATCGATTCAGTGATTGGGGTAATAGGAGTAGGTGTGTTGGAGACAATGAGGTTGGCACAGGATAGAGCAGGGTTTAGGGCTCTTGTACATAGGGTCATTATGAGTCACAAATGACTTGACAGCAAATAACAACAAACAACAACAATCACTAATATCACATGCAAGCAAAATATTGCTGAAGATCATCCCAAACCAGCTGCAACAGTACATGACAGAGAATGGCCAGACATTCAAGCTATATTTAGAAGAGGCCTGACACCAGGTATATTATTGCTGATATCACATGGACCCTGACTGAAAACAGAGAATACCAATAGAATGTCTATTTATGTTTTATTGACTTGCTAAAACGTTTGAAAATGAGTGGATCATGACAAACTAAGGACAATGGAATCCCAGAACACTCAATTGTGCTCATGTGATATCTATACCTAGATCAACTATTTTCCAAACAGAGCAAGGGAACACTGGATGGTTAGGTCTGTTATTCATAGAGTCCCTACTCTACTCAACTGCACCTAACAACAAAACAACAATTCCTGTTATTCACCAGTGCCCTCAGTGCGTCTTTGACTTGTTTCTTAAATCTTGTCAGTTCTTACTTGTATGTATGCTTTCTACTAAAAATATTTGAACATTGACTAGAGTTGGCTTTTTGTTTTATTTTGTTTTTTGGTACAGTGATTCTCGGTATTGCTTCCAACTTCTTTTTTATTTTTTAAATTAGATTGTGTTGTTGTGTGCATCAAGTTGGAACTGACTCATTGCCCACCCTCAAGTGGGTTTTTAGAGGCAATTAACCACGTGGGAGAATGTTCCCAGCCTTCTCCCAAAGAGAAGCTCATGGATTTGAACTCAGTACTTTTGAGATTGCAGTGCAGCTCCTTTACCGCTAGGCCACCATACTTCCATCTTCTTCTGATGCTTTCTATGTTACTCAATAGGGAGCTCTGGTGGCCCAGTGGTAAGAAGCTGTGCTACAATCTCAAAGGCATGTGGTTCAAATCCACCAGTTGCTCCACCTCTGAAAACCTACCAGAGTGTCAGCTGTGGTTTGGTTCTGACTCTACCATACATAAAATGTTATTCAATATTTTGCCCATAGAATCCTTCAATATTGTAACTAAAGACTTTAATTTTTCTTCCATTCTTTCAGCTTAAGAAATTCCAAGCATGTTCTTCTTTTTGGTTTTCTAACTCCAAGTCTTTTCATATTTTATTTTTAACACTGTACTTTGTCTTCTTGAGTTGTCCTTTGAAATCTTCTGGTCAACTCTTTTACTTCATCATTTATTCTATTTGCTTTAGCAATTGTATGTTCAAGAACAAGTTTTAGAATCTCTTCTAGCATCCGTTTTTATATTTTCTTTCTTTTTTGTAATTTAAATGACCTTTTGCTTTCTAGTCCTACTTGATAAGCACATTCCATCAATTCAACTTCTAGAGCGAATCAGCCATATATTACCTTAGATGGGTGGATGGCAGGTGAATTGATGAATGAACAATGGTTGGATAAATGGATAGATGGTTGAGTAAGTGAATGGTTGGATGAGTAGATATGTCTATCAGTCAATTGATGATTAGACAGGTGAGTGATGGATGGATGGATGGATAGATGGATGAATGGTAGATTGGATAAATATGTGAATTGATGGATTTATGGATGCTGGAGAGGGTGGATGGATGGGGAGCTACAGATACAAGTAGATTTAAGGATGGATGATTGCATAAGTGGATGAATGAGTAGATTACAGGGTATATGGTTGGGTGGATACTATAGGACATGCCTTGTCAAATGCCTTCAGGTAACTGATCAGCTGCTTTCTCCTAGGTACCTCAGCCCCCTGCCACAATCATTCAGCAGTTGCCTCATCAGCCCCTCATTACACAGATTACTCCTCCTCAGGCCTTCCCGACTCAAAGGTCTGGGAGTATTAAAGAAGGTAAGTAATCCAGAGAAATATTATAGAGAATTTATGACATTCCATATTGGAAAAAATATTTTGTAAGCAGGATAATCACTTGAGGTCAACTTTCAGCTACTCAGTTGATACTATACATTTATTAGCATGAGGATAGTTTTAATTTTAAGAAATCACTATGTGAACGATATCTCTTCAAGAAAGAAACAAAAACTAGGAGAGAAGGCACTGGACTCGGAGTCAAAAGAACTGGGCGCTAGTCCAGACTAATCCTTTAACTAGTGATACAGAAATCTTGGTTAAATGGCTTGTTTTAAAGTCACTGTTAGATATTTTTTTGCTTTTAAAAATAATTTATTGAGTTATCAATATCATTGAATAAACTGGACATGCTTGTGTTGTACAATTTTGACATAATATATATCTCATCACTACAGTCAAGATAGTAAGCATATCCATCATCCTCAAAGTTCCAGTTTTTTGTTTTTGTTTTGTTTTTTCTGCTGAAACCCAGGAACGAACAAAGTTACAGTTTTCACTTCCTCCTTTTTGCTCCCTCAAGGAGCTACTCAGTTTTTGTCTCTATATATTAATTTGAATTTCCTAGCTCTCATATAAATGGAATCACAATTTGTATTCTTTTTTTGTTTGGTGCTTTTTCACTCAGCATGATTATTTTAATATCCATCCCTCTTGTTCGCCATATGACGACTTCACTCCTTTTAATTACTGAGTAATACTCCACTGTGCAAAGGTACCACTGTTTGTTTATCTGCCCTCTTGTATGTGGATGCTGCGGCTGTTTCTGGTTTGGGATTAATACAGAAAAAAGCTGCTAAATCATGTCCAGTAGACCACCAAACAATATAAGTTTGAACTGTGAGGGACCACGTAGGTGTATATATGTTGTTACTGCAGTGAGCTCAAATATTGCTAATCATCTCTGCAGGAACAGTTTGCCTCTCCCTGAAATTCTCTAAACATTCCATTTCCTTCTGCTGTTATGAGATTATCTTCTCTCTGAAAAATATGCAGCCACTGTCAGTTAAATATTTCCTGTCCTGGGACTCCAATCTGAACTATACTCGTCTCTTTTTTTATGCTCCAAGCCACCTAACCTTACTTACATGTTTTCCTTTTTAAATTCTAAAAAAAATTTTTGAATATATCTTATAGTTTGCTGATATATCTACTATTCTACTTATTTGATTCATTTTTTACAATTTCTGCAAATATATTGTTATTTCTAGAATTTTCATTTTTAAATTTCCTGTTCATTCTGGTTGTAGTGGTTGTTGTTATAAACCATTGAGACGCTTGTGACTCATAGTGACCCTATGTACAAGAGACCTAAACCCTGCTCTATTCTGTATAAGCCTCACTGTCTCTGACACACCTAATCCCGTTACCCTAATCACTGAATTGATCCATCTCACTGAGGGTCTTCCTCTCTTGCGCTGTCCCTCCACCCTCCCAAATATGATGTTCCTCTCCAAGGACCGGTCCTTCCTTGCAACATGCCCAAAGTATGTCAGACAAAGCTTCATAAATCCTTGCTTTCAAGGAGCAGCCCAGTTTCACCCTTTCCAGGTTAAACCTGTTTGTTCTCCTCGCAGTCCATGGTATATTCAATACTCTTCTCCAGCACCACAAATCAAAGGCATCAATTTTCTTTCTATCATCCCTATTCATACTCCATCTCTCTGATGCATAGCACACAACTGCGAAGATATAGCCCGGGTCAGGAGCACCTTAGTCTCCAACCTGATGTCATTGTTCTTCAGTACCCTGGAGAGGTCCTTGACAGCTGACTTTCCCAAAGCAATTCATCTCCTGATTTCCTGGATGCTGATACCAAAGTATTGATTATGGAGCCAAATTCCTGTATTAGGTTTACATTTAAAAAAATGCTATTTTTCTTTCTTTTCCTTTTTTACGGGAGCTCTGGTGGTCTAGCAGGTACCAGCCAAGGCAGTTTGAATCCACCTGCTGCTCCAAAAGAGCAACACGGGCAATCTTCTTCTATGTAATTTGTAGCCTTTCAAATCCTGCTGGAGGGTCAGATATGAGTCAGTTCCAGCTTGATGAGAATGAGATTTTATTTCTGTAAGCATTTTTTAAGATTATTATGTGTAATGCAAACTTTGGAAGGTGTTTCTTCTAGATTTTTTTCCCATGGTTAAGCTTCATCCTTTGTATTTGGAAATTGTGTGTGTAAAACAGAGAGATCATGATTTTTTAAGATTTTATTGATACAAACATATAGGAAAGTATACTAATAAAACATTCATTTTGACAAAATTTTCAGATCATGAGACACTTATATAAATATCAAGATTTAAAAAAAATCAAAACTCATTCTGCCGCCTTCCTTCCTTGTGTCTCATTCCAGTCATTACACCCTCACTCCAAACAAGATAGCTACGATGTGGACTTCCAACAACACAGTTTTACTTGTCTTTAAATTTCATATCTATTAAGTGTTACACATGTTTGTTGCTATGTGCCATCAAGTCACTTGCGACTCATAACAACCCTATGTACAACAGCCCTAAACTTTGATCTGTCCTGTGCCATTTGCACTGTCTCCGATACACCCATCCAGATTATCCCAGTCACTGAATCAATCCACCTCATAGGGGGCCTTCCCTGCCTGCGCTGTCCCTCCACCCTACCAAGCATGATGTCCCTCTCCAAGGACTGGTCCCTCCTTGCAACATACCCAAAGTATGATAGACGAAGCCCCAAAATCCTTGCCTCCAAGGAACTGCCCGGGCAGTTTTAACTCTCTCCAGGATGAATCTGTTTTCCTAGCAGTCCATGGTACCCTCAATACTCTTCTCCAGCACACAGCTCAAAAGGCATCAATTCTCCTTCTATCCTACTTAGTCATTGTCCAACTCTCTGATGCATAACAAGTGATAGCAAAGATCATGGCCTGTATCAGATGCGCCTTAGTCTCCAGAGAGACACCATTCCTCTACAGTACTTTGGAGAGGTCCCTAACAGCAGACTTTCCCATAGCAATATGTCTTTAAAATTCCTGGCTACTGGTGCCAAGAGTTTTGACTGTGGAGCCAAGCAGACTAAAGCTGTGAACAATCTCAATCTCTTCACCATCCGTCCTGATGCTGCCAATTGGTCCAGTGGTGAGTATCTTTGTCTTCTTGACATTGAGCCTCAATCCATATTGGAGGCTGCAGTCCTTGACCCTCTGCAGCAAGCGCTTCAGGTCCTCCTCAGTTTCAGCAAGCAGGGTTGTGTCATCTGCATAACGCAGATTGTTGATGAATCTTCCACCAATCCTGACTCCACATTTCTCCTCATAGAGCCCCGCCTCTCGGATAATCTGCTCTGCATACAGGTTGAAAAGTTATGGAGACAAGACACATCCCTGGTGTGCGCCCTTCCCAATTTAGAACCATGCAGTGTTTCCTTGCTCTGTTCTGATGACTCCCTCTTGGTCCAAGTATAGGTTTCTCATTAGCACGATCAAGTCTTCTGGGACTCCCATTCTTCTCAGAGTCAGCCACAGTTTGTTGTGACCCTCTCTAGGTCGAACCTCTTTGTTTTCTTAGTAGTCCATGGTATATTCAATGCTCTTCTCCAAGACCATAGCTCAAAGGATTAATTCTCCTTCTATCCTTCCTAGTCATTGTCCAGCTCTCTGACACTTAGAAATTGATTGCAAAGACCATGGCCTGTATCAGGCACACCTTAGTCTCCAGAGTGACATCATTGCTCTTCAGTACTTTGGAGAGGTTTCTAACAATCGACTTTCCCATTGCAATACGTCTTTTAATTTCCTGGCTGCTGGTGCCAAGACTGTTGATTGTGGAGCCAAACAAACTAAAGCTGTTAACAATCTCAATCTCTTCACCATCCGTCCTGATGCTGCCAATGGGCCCAGTGGTGAGAATTTTTGTTTTCTTGATATTGGACATCAATCCATATTGAAGGCTGCAGTCCTAGAACTTCCACAACAGAACTTCAGGTCCCCCTCAGTTTCAGCAAGCAGGATTGTGCTATCTGTATAACGCAGATTGTTGATGAATCTTCCTCCAATCCTGATGCCACACTTCTCTTCACATAGCCCAGCCTCCTGGATAATTTGTTTTGCATATAGGTTGAAAAGGTATGGAGATAGGACAAATCCAGAGTCATTGTACCTAAATGAGTTGGAAGACACAGAAGAATTTCATGAAACAACATATGAGCAACAGCCTATGGTAACGAAGGAAGAAGTTCAAGTTGCTTTGAGGGAATTGGCAAAAATAAGGCCCCAGGAATTGATGGTATACCAATTGACGTATTTCAACTAACAGATGCTGCCCTAGATGTGCTCACCAAGTTGTGTCAAGAAATCTGGAGGACAACCACTTGGCCAACTGACTGGACGAGATCTCTGTTTGTTCCCATTCCAAAGAAAGGTGATCCCACAGAGTGTGGAAATTACTGAACAATATCACTGCTATCACATGCAAGTAAGATTCTGCTGGAGATCACCCAAAAATGACTGGGACAGCACGTCAGCAGAGAATTGCCAGAAGTCCAGGCTGGGTTTGGAAGGGGTCATGGTACCAGGGATATTGTAGTTGATATTAGATGGATCTTAGCTGAAAGCAGGGAATACCAGAGGAATGTCTATCTGTGTTTCATTGATTATGCAAAGGTGTTTGACTGTGTGGATCACAACAAACTGTGGCTAACTTTGAGAAGAATGGGAAGTGTTCTGAGGAACACTTGATTCTGCTAATGTGAAACCTGTACTTGGACCAGGAGGTAGTCATCAGAACAGAGCAAGGAAACACTGCATGATTCTAAATTGGGAAGGGTGTACGTCAGGGAAGTGTCCTATCTCCATACCTACAGTATATCACAAAGAATCTTTGGGGACCATGATTTAGGCTACCATGTTATACCATTGTATTATTATCCAAAAATTAATTGTGGACTCATTCTTTTGTGGTTGGATGTTACATTTCTTTGCATTTCAGGGTGCTGCTTATGAACATGTGATTGTTATTATGTGTCTTGGTGAATGGACGTGTACATTTCTGTGGGGACTAAATTGCTGGGTTCTGAAATATGGCCAAAGAGTTTTCCAAAGTAGTTGCACTAATATACAACCCAGAGAAATGTATGAGAACTTGAGATGTTTCACATCAATCCACCAACACTTCTTATTTTAATAAAATTTTATTTTTATTTTTTTTAGAGAACATTTACAGAGAAGTTAGCTTTTCATTCCCTCATTGTACACTTTACCCCCTCTTCTTCCCTTCCCACTTCCCCAGTTCACTTTTAAAAAAAAATTCATTAATTATTTCACAATTAAGCTGCCTGTCCCTGCCCCAAGTCCTCTTTGCAATAATATTTCTTATTCTGAAACACTTATTATTTTCTGATTATTTTCATTTTAGTCAGTCTAGTAGATATGTCATAGTGTATCATCTTGGTTTTTATTTACATTCTCCCTTTTAATATATTTATTGGCCATTTGAACATCATTTTGGTAAAATACCCATTCAAGCATTTTCTCTTTATTCTTTCATATTGTTAGCCGCTCTTAGTGATAATGTGGGAATTTTTAATGTATTTTAATTATTTTTTTAAAACATATCCATTGCAAATATAAAAATGAAAATAGTACTATCAAGCTGATTCTGACTCATAGCAACCCTCTTCAAGGCTACAAGTCTTTCTTCCTCAAGAAGCCCGTGGATTTGAACACCTGACCTTTTGGTTAGCAGCATGACCTTTTGGTTAGCAGCATCACACGTAACATACTGACTTGAGGGCACCTAACAGCAACAATTGTAAATATCATGTTCCATTTTGAGACTCACTTCATCATTATCATCATATTGTCTCTAGATAAACAAGAATTGTTCATTTTATAATATTCATTTGTTAGAGTCGTTTCCTTTATAAAGAGCTTTAGTGGCCTAGTGGGTAAGGAGTTATGCTGCCAACCCCAAAGTAGGCAGTTTGAATCCACCAGCTATTCCATAGGAGAAAGTCTCCTTCTGTGTGACTTAAAGCCGCTGAAAATCAACAGCTATAAATAAGTTCCAACTTGATGGCAATGACTTCTTTCCTTTATAAGAGGAGGTCTAGGAATGCTGTCGTTGAGGCATTTAGCTGCTAAGAAATCAGCAATTCATCCATATCAGCTACTTCACAGGAGAAAGATGTAGCAGTCTGCTTTTATAAAGATTCATGGCCTTGGAAATCCTATGGCTATTTCAGCTCTGTCCTACGGGGTTGTTGTAAATCAGAATTTACACTCTGATGGTGGGTTTGTTTCCTTTTGCTTTCCTTTCCTTTCACTTATGGTTTATGGCACTATGTGTCCTGTTGAAGAAATCTTTCCCCAATGAAGATCATAAGGATGCTCTTCTTCCATATTCTCTACAAACTTGGTTTACTCTTCACATTCGGATTTACAATCCATCTGGAATAGATTTTTGTATATTCTGTGAGGGGAGAATCAACATTCTTGTTACTATTGCTGAGGTTATTAACCTCACCTTGATTTATTGAAAGGACCATTATCCCCCGCTGCACTAATCTGTCTCCTTCATGATAAATCAGGTGATGGAGGGGAGTCAGTTTCTGAACTCTATTATTTCCTAAGGGCCTAGGTGTCTAATCTTTCTATCTTGATTTTATTCTACATGAATCCTGTTGGCATGACTTGGCAAGTTTTTCTCTCTGAGGCCCTGTTATTACTGCTGCTTGTGGGTTGGGTATGCTCTGGCTGCAGGACCCCTTGTATTTCTTCTAGGTTCTATCCCAAGCAGTGCTGTTAGATTCAGCTTCTTCACTTTCAGGCTCATATGAGGATTCACATTCCCATAACTGGTGCTGCTTTAGGAATCAGCTCTGGCTGTCCCTCCTTCCTTGCTCCCGGAGCCTCTTGGCCTGTCTGAACCCTCTCCTCAAGCCGTCCTAAGCTAGGCTTCCATGCATTTGTTGGGGAGGATGGGCTTAGGAGATCTCTCCTTTCATTATCAGGATACAAAAATCTAAAGGACTGTGTTTCTGTGATCTAGTTGCCGTGCAAAGTACCAGTATTTCCCTATTATATTGGCAGAAATGAGAATGTTCCATACTCCCAGTGTCAGTGAGTCTACTGGCTAACTGGGACTGCTGTAACAAATCCTCACAAAGTAGATAGCTTACAACAGAAAGCTATTCTCACAGTTCTGGAGCCTAGAGTCGCACATGAAGGTGTAGGAAGGGCCTTGCTCCGTCTTGGAGTTCCTTCCTCAGAGGATCCTTCTTGCCTTCCTCTCACCTTCTGGTGACCCCAGGCACTTCTTGGGTTATGATTGCATCACTCTAGTTTCTTAGTTCTCACGTGACTTTCTCCTCCATCTCAAATTTCACTTTGCCTCTCTCTTATAAGGATACTTGCCATTGCATTTAGGGTCCATCTGAACAATCTCCTTTCTCAATTGAATCAAATTTTTCCAAATTATGGTCATATTCATAGGTCCCCAAAATTAAGACATGGACATACTTTGAGGCACACCAAGCAACCCAAGAAAGTAAGGGTTTGAGGAATGAGATTCCTGTTCATCAGTAGTAGAAATGAAAATTGGCGCAGGCCCTTGGAAAGCCAACTTATGTAAAAAAAAAATCCACAGACACACAAAAAGAAAACTTATGTACCCTTTCAGCCAGATGTTTCACAGCTCAAAAGATTTCTCTGACCTTCAGTGCACCAGATATTCTATTGCTTGTTACACACCCTTTTAATTTTATTATTATTTTTATGTGTTTATCATCTAGTTGGATCTGACTGGTACAGGAGGAGATTGCCCATTTTTATTTTTTTTTAAATCTTGTGGTGCTGGAGAAGAGTGTTGAATATACCATAGACTGCTAGGAGAACAAACAGTTTCGTCTTGGAGAGAGTGATGCCGGGCTGCTCCTTGGAGTCAAGGATTCTGAAGCTTCGTCTGACATACTTTGGGCATGTTGCAAGGAGGGACTGGTCCTTGGAGAGAGACATCATGTTTGGGAGAGTGGAGGGACGGCACAAGAGGGAAAGACCCTTGGTGAGGTGGACTGTCAGAGACAATTAGGTTGGCACAGAATAGAGGAGGGTTTAGGGCTCTTATACACAGGGTCACTATGAGTCACAAGCGACTCAATGGCATATAACAACAACAACATTTTAACAAAAGTTTACAGTAAACTTAGGTTTCTATTCATTCATTGTTGCACATTTTTCTCCTTACCTGCCCCCATATATACTATTTTAAGTGAATATCCACAAACAAAAACACTGTTTCCAAAGTAGACCTTGTCCCCGGCACCCCACCTACACAAAGGCTGAGCTCCGTCCACCTCTCCTTCCAGACATGGTGGAGATGATGCTGATGCAGAACGCCCAGATGCACCAGATCATCATGCAGAACATGATGCTCAAGGCCCTGCCACCTACCGCGCTTGCTGCCCCGGTGCAGCGGGCCCCCGGCCTGCACCTCAGCCCACAGGTAGGCTCGCTCGGGGCTACAGAACAGTGGGACTACCTGATCCAAACAAAAGCACCTGGAGTTGCTTATCTTTTAGAAATATCAGCATGTGTGCACCTCTGAGGACTGAACTTCTGGCTCTCAGTGTGTAAGGAGGAGGCAGTGGCCCCACCCAAGAGGAGAGAGAGGTCTAGAAAGCTGCTGCTGGCCACATGGGCCCTGAGCTCTGGCTGGTGGCTGACCCTCCTCATTCCTCTCTAAACTGAGGCAGGAAATGGGAACCAAAAGGGGGGGTGTCCTTGTTTGAACTAAGCCTTCTCTGAAATGGGCCACTTCTGTGTGTTGTGTCAGGACGTGCAGTGGGCTCACCCTGCTCTCCTGCGAGCAGAAAAGCAGAGGCTGGCTTCAGTGCACCACCACCACCACTACCCACCGTCAGCCCCCCTGCAGCCTGTCTCTGCTTCCGGAACCCCTGTGGGTTACCACATGTGGCCCTCTGTCGTCTCAGCCACAGCGCTCCCACAGGCTGCCAGCTTCCAGCCAGCTGTGCGCCACATGGCTGGCCCAGTGGTCACTTCTGCCCTGCCTGCCCTTAATGAGTAAGTCCTCGTTGGATTGGGTAGAGGCTTGGTCTTGCTCAGGTGGGGTGGGAAATTGAGCGGACACAGCCATGGGCTTGCCGGGATCTGAGTCTCATTTCCATGCTCCCTGCCGAAAACCCAGAGACTTAAGAAAGGAGCTAGGAAAAGTGTTGAATCATCATCTTGCCGAGGGATGGAAGGTGGTGCCCAGGGAAGTCTCAGCCAGGGTTGCTGCTTCAGCCACACACAGTCTGGCTGAGTTTGAATCCCACACCACCTCCTAGGAAAAGCTGATTGTTGGTTCCAGTTATTTGTCCATTTGAGGCTGAAGTGTGTCTGAAAAGCATCCAATATAAAGTGGGCTGCTAATGTCCTCCTACCTGAGCCCAGGACAGGCTGTCAGTGTAACCCACGTGCACTGTAGTGTGTGAAGCAGACAAAATCACACCTTTCTTTATAACAAAGTCACCAGTGCAGACTTGCCCCTTTTCTCTAGGACTGTCTCTGATGGCACCCTCACCATGCAGGCCCCAGGTTTGTGAGCCCTGCATGCTGCAGACGGGTAAGTAGAGGAGTGACTGTCTGTCCACACCCACCTCGGGTCCCAGATATGCACTGTCTGCTCTAGGGAGCTTGAAAAGGTCTGAGCAGATGGCATCCTTGTAGCCAGACTCAGGAATCCAGCTCATGAAAATATTCCGTTTAGATTTAGATCAGACAGGCATTTGAGAAAAATGTAGTTTAGGAGCCTTACTGGGACAGATGAACACATTTAGCCACAAAAAATTTTATGCCTTCATGTGGGAAGATAGACCTCAAACAAAGGAGAAGGGTTAACAGTGATCAGTTGGAAATACCTGTTTGTCATGTGTGTGACAGAAAGAAGGGCCTCACTGTATCACGTGGAAAGAGGAGATTACAGAATAGCTATAAATACAGGTAGGCTAACCTGCTGGTTTGCATACCTTTTTACCCCTGGTAATAAGACATGAGCAGCTAACCAGTGGTTCCTCCTGGAGCACTGAACAAGGAAGGGGCACTTTCTCCCCTCTGTTTTTACTTTCTAAGTCTGTTCAGCTTTCTTATAATATGTATGTTACTTTTACTTTTTCTAGGAAGCTCTTGTGGCGTAGTGGGTAAGGAGTTGTATTGCCAACCAAAAAGCAGGTAGTTCAAATCCACCAGCTAGCAGCTCTCAGGGAAAAAGATAGCTAGTCTCTTCCTGTGTGATTTACAACTTCCCAAAACTCACTGGAGGGTGAGCTATGAGTTTGCTTCTTGAAAGCAATGAGTTATTTTACTCTTTCTTTGCTTTATTCTCTTTTTTGTTCTATTTACTTTTCAGTAGAATTACATGACCTTTCTGCTTTTTTTTAGCACTCTAGTGGTTAAAGTACTTGGCTGCTAACAAAAGGTTGAGTGTTTGAGAACCCACCATCCAGTCCAGGGGAGAATAAAAATGGGGTGGTCTACTTGAGTTTAGTCTTAGAACTCTACAGGGTATCTATGTTACCAATTGGCATGAGCCAGAATCAACAGCAAAGGGTTTTAGTTTTGAGGAAGGAGGTTCTATTTCATAATGATAAATGTTATTTTAAGGTATTACTCATAAGTTTTATTCTCTTCCTTTTGAGATAAATTGTTTTACCTCCCAAGTGCTTCAGAAGTAGGAGCTTTCCCCCTATTTTCCTATTCTTAGAACCCTGCAGCCAACACCAAAATGCTTGTGCAATGAAGATGAATTTAGCTGATCCCATGGGCTGTCCTGACATTTATGGAAAGCTCTGAGTGACAAACATGATGGATGCCCATGTGCATGAACTTGTCTGAATGGAAGAAGCTGCCCCTAAGAAGCCATGGTGGTGTGGCCACAAACACAGTTAAATGTGGTCACAGAGCCTCGTGTGGCTCACATGCATTAAAAATCTGATTTCAATTTCCTGTTTCACTTTATTGACTTTTTCCTCAGACCAAGGGACACAGATTACAGCAACAGGCCAAGAAACAAATAAATGGGCATATCTTGTTACAAAGGGAACTTTGGTGACCTAGTGGTAAGGAGCTGCAGCCAACCCAAAAGCATGCAGTTTGAATTGGGGGAAAGATGGGACACTTTCCTCCTGTACAATTTACTGTCTTTGAAAACCTGCTGAAGGCTCAATTATGAGTCACTTCCGACTCCATGGTACACCACAACAACAACCATGTTGCATACTACCCTCAGACTACTGGCTTGATAAAGAATTGAAATAGACAAATGCGGCATTTGTTACTATAAAAAGGGGAAGGGCCACATGGGGGCGGCCATGTCTAACCTTTACCAATTTCACAAAGGGGAACTGTCGCCATCAACAGCAAAACAACACAAAACCATTTCCCACGAGGTCAGACATGTCTCCCATGTTCCTGAACCTCTTTCTACAATTCCCAACACCAATCTTACTGCTTTACTGGGTCAAAAATCTTTTTTGGGAAGTTAAATGGTTATAATCCAGGTTAATAACAGATTTCAGTCAGGACATCTTTTGAATTATGCTCGCAGGTTTTAGGCCAATGTTACAAAGTTCTCAGTCCTATGAATTATGGTTCTCCCCAACCCCCAAGGTGTCCAGCAAACTTGGGCAAAGGCACTTAGCTCTTAGGAGTCCCAAGGTCCCATGTCACATCAAGTCTCTTGTTCTCTCACGTCAGGTCTCTGGTTCTCTGTTTCACTTCAGGTCTCTGGTTCTCTGTCACATGTCAAGTCTCTCTTTCTCCCCTGTGGCTACTGTGGCTGTTGATCTTGTAGGCTCTCTTGCTTGCTTTTTTTTCCTGGTAGTGAGGTTTCTTTTCTTCATTGGTGGGAAAGGTCTCTTCTGCTGCTGCGATTGCTGAGCTGCTCAATTTAATGGTGAGAATAGCCAATCCCTTTGTGGATTGGTGAGATTAGCCAATCTCTCTGACAGCTAGTCTTGTGGATAGAAGAACTAGCCTATTCCCATATTCCTGTACATCTACATGGCAAATTCAAATGATGGCTAGGAAAGTCATAGTGAAAGATAAACTCCACAGCTACCTAAAACAGGAGGAGATAATGGCGTGAAGAACTGGCTTACTAGCCTTCGTGGGTGTGTGCTCACATTAAATATGAAGGGGCCAAAAAGGGATCATCACAAGATAGAGTCCTACATTTCTCAAGGGCATCTGGGAAAGTGGGAGTTGGGGAGGATACATGGCTTTTCTCTTAGTTTTGCTTCTCAACATAATTATTAAGTTAATTATAAGAAAAAGACTAGGTCTTGCCAAGTTAAGGCCTTGCTAATAAAGGCAACCATTCCTATATTCAGGAGATTCATGATGATATCACTGGCCTGGACTAGGGCTGTGGTATAGTTGAGGGTACACTACAGAATAAGGTACTAGGGCTGACATTTCCTGGGGTCGACAACCCCTTCCTTTGATTACCTTATCCTTAGGCCCAAATAAGTGCAGTCCACTCTGGGATAACTAAAGAAACAACAACAACAA